TTTAATCGTTGCATTAATATGCGATAATTATATACTTAATGCCGAGTTGCGATTTAACTAGAGTAATATTAGAGACGTACAAGAAAATCAGGAATTCTGAGCGAAGGGTAACTGAGCCAACTGGAATGATAAATCATAATTCAAGTGAGTCAGTTAATAACACGATAATAACTATCATCCACAATCAAGATAAATAATAATTATCAACTTTTCGTTACCTGCACACCGAGCAAACACAAATGCGATCTACATGACACGCCGTACTTATAATTACTGTAACACGACATACTTACTGTACTTAAATGATTCTCCAAACACCTCGCGAAGCGTCCCGTCTGATGTTTCGGAATTGGGTGTCCTTCGAACTGACATCCGCGTGAATTTCGACACGACGACGTCGCGAAAAAGAGAAAGCGATAGAGATCGGTTGCGGCGGCAGCACCAATCGTCCGGACTGGAATTTAATTATTTGAGTCGCGGGGGCTGTGATTACCGCGTCAGCCCGATAAACCAGACTTCACCTGTCGCACCTTTGATCCATCCCGTGCATACCTCGCATTGCATTCCCGTCCGTCTTGCACCGGTGTTCGTCTACTGTGCATCATCGAGGAGAGGACGATCCTCGCGCATCGGCCAATCGTGCGTTTAGGTGTTAATGACAGGGTCGCTATTATACGCGCGCGCTCATAACGAGAGAGCTGCGTCTATACGCTGTGTTCTCTCCTGCCTCTTGCCTTTCCCTTTTAACTTTTTCTTGCGCTTTACACGGTCGGTACCGACCATCTCTCCCTCGCGCGTTGTATTATAGCTTTCATAACGCCGACGCCGCGAAATTGTAGCGCCCCAGTGGTTCTCGGTTCGATGCGTCGTCTCACCTTTGTATCAAGGCCCAATATTACATCAACAACTCAACCTCACATTGGTACTTTTTGCTATGTGGTAATTGCGTGTAATTTTCTTTTCTCCGTTTCTTCAAAAGGATAGTCGAATTTTTAAGTCTTACAAATATTGTAGGTCAATCGTGGGATAAAACCTTCTAAATAGTTTGCTTCAACACGCGATAGAAAAATGTGGGTAGTTGCGAACCTGTAACGAGCGGCGAATTGGTTCCTATACCGCGAGGAGCACGTAGAAGTAATATATGGGATCCATTCTTCTCTCCTTCTATCTCACTCTTTTCCTCTTACGTGCAGGCCCATCCTACCAGTTATTATCCGGAGTAATCGTGCCTAAAAGCCGGTGCCCGCTTTTGATTAAAATTGGCTTTTAATTCATTTGGCAGCCTCTAATCTCGCGGCGGCTCCGATCAGAGGGAACCAGAGCGAGGGCGACGAGCCGATGGTCAGGGGAAAGAAGTAGGGGGAAGTTGAGGGAGAGAAGACAGAGGTTTAAAGCGAAAAATTTAGTGGCTTCCTCTCTTCATCCTCATACGTGCCGCCGAGCTTGCGAGTGCGTCATGAATAAATTCCGATGTGGCACCTTTTGGCAAAATATATTACATCGATCGATTGCAGATAGTTCTTGGAATGCTTCTTACATGTAAAGTTTTAGAATTTTATATTTTCGAATAGTGTTTGATATAAAAATAATTTTGGTTTATATTGCATTTCTAATTCTGTCCTCGTTTCTATTTTGTCTTTTTATAATCCAATCATAGAGTTTAACTCTCTTGGTTTAATCAGTCACCAGATTTTTTTAAAACTATTATCTGGGATATTTCTATATTCAAATTAAAATCATTATTATTGATAATGTATTGTATATGTATTGTTTTCTGATTTATTAATTTGAAAACAATACGGATATGAATTTAATCATAATTTTCTGAAGAAAGTAGAAGCCAAACAAATATTAGACGGAATAAGCACATTAAATAACTTATTATGACAGTATTTCTAAAAAAATAATAAAGATTTTAATTAACGTTACTTTTTTATTGTGGGTTTTTGATGGAATCGCATATTTAATGATTCGTAAAAGTGATTATTAAAAGAAAACAAATAATTCATAAATAAAAATAAACAATATCTCCATATAATATTTTATAACAAATCACATTTTTTCTGGATTATAAAAATATCTCAGGAATTGTATACACATCTCTCAACAGTTGTTGGTGTCGTTATGTGTATTGCGCAGATATTTTGTATGGTAAAAAAGTTGCGCAAAGCGTACACTGACATCGGTGTACAGAATAGCACCCCAAATGACTAACTTCCCGAGTTAAGAATTCGCAAATTTGCACAGAACAATTTGCTTTGATGTCCACATAAGAGTACCTTATTATATTTCTCAAATTCCTCCAATTTTAAGAAATTAATTCAAAATATTTTGATCAATATTGAGATACTTATTACGTTCGGCATATATCCTAATATTCTGGGGAAAAGATTCTTTGGATGAGGAAATCCGTCAAATGGAAGATTGAAATCAACACGCCGTAGACGCCTGTCTCGAAACTCCGTGCGTCTGACAACTTACTAACAAACGCGTCAGCACTCGAAATGGCGCGTCGGTCTCACTTCCTTTCTTTGATAACGATAACCATCGCTTCGAGACGAAGCGACAGAGTTTCGCTGCGATTGCTTCGGTCGCCGACTACGATGTCGACGGCGACGAGGTACCGGAAATGTGAAAGTTCGGTAATGGGTAACTGGAGCGAGCAAACACGTATAGAGGACTTTGTGAAATGCGGTAACATCGCTCCGGTTGTTATCATCGTATCTTTTTCCGCCATTGTACCGCAGATATTGCGCGACGCATACTTAAAATTCCGGTGTCACAAACCGGAAGGAAAAGAGTATCGATTCCATGCTCGATAGTTTCTGATTTATTTGCAACCGTTGGCTACTTATATTATCATGTAACGCACATTCCGTGTCTCATTATCGATACACTAGTTTCGTTATGCTCGAATTTCCACATCCCGTATAACTCCCTCAATATCTCCGATAAAGTTCATATTAAGATAGCGTAGTTATATGGTTCAAACTGGTTTTCATTATAACACCGATTCCCTCGTAACACTTCTTATCGTTTGTTAATTGATAAACTGTCGACGAGTATATAACAGATTATTAAAAAAGGCAGTTCTTAATGTTTATTATCAACTTTATCAGTATTTCAACTAATATTTGTTTTTACTATAATAAAAATAATTTTGAGTCTTTATTTTTGCCAATTAATTACTGATTGATTAGTTGCAACTGATCGGCTGGAAAGATTATAATTTTCTGATTAAATATCTAATGTGTGTGTTTAAAATTATTATGTACAGCATTTGTATCATGCAATTGATGAATAGCTTGAAAAAAAAATGATTTACATTCTTTGCTGTTGAAAATTTATATTAATCGAGTTTTTATAAAACAATTTTTTCGGCAATATAAAATATATAGAAATTTATTATTAAATTTTATGATGAAGTGTTCTGATTTATAACCCAGTTTTTTATGCAAAATCTATTTAAGAAACGCGATGTATACATTTTGTTATTGTGTTGCGTATACACTCTGTTGTTATGTATTTATCGCTTATTTAAATTGTAAAGTGATTGCATAATTTATGGCTAATTATTCAATAATAAGTGCTCTTGAAATGTATATCTCAATAATTGCTATCTACCAATCGATACATTAATATTCATAAAATTTATCGATCGCCGTGTTAAAGGGTGCGTAATCATGTATGTATTTCTCACATGGACTACTTCGATTCAAATGATAGATAAAAACAATGGTTTCTCTTTAATGATACTATCGGACTCAACATCCCATTGCGAGGCAAATCCAATTAATTAGCGTAAGTGGCGCAATTAATTGGCGCGGACTACACACCTACATAGGCTAGTGAGATAGCAGTTTGAGATTAAGTTCTCTGTTTCTCACTTTTTTTTTCATTGGCGAAGACCCGTGGAAGACGAGAAAGAGGCGCAAGTAGAAGAAAACAGGATAGAGAGAGAGAGAGAGAGAGAGAGAGAGAGAGAGAGAATTAGACGGAGCTGAAGAAGGGCTTTACGAAGCAGTTCGGGGACATTCTTGATTTCGATGTTGGAAGGGAATCCGACGAGATCCACTTGAATTTAACGAGGCTCTACGGCAAATGGGCCACCCTGCAGACCTGCCTCCTTTATTTTCTCTATACTACTGGAACTCATGCCGCACTACCAATCCATGTGTGAACAAACACTCGATCTTAAGATTGCTCCTTCGATCACAAAGTTTCCGAGATATGTTACGATCGACTTTAGACAAACCTGTCAGCACGAGGACAAAATTTTTGTATTTTTTGATTCTTTCTATATTAAGTACTGTTCATTATTATCATATGTGCAATGGTTTCTAAACTATTATGAACTATTTTTTATTTTAATATAACGAGTGAGCGCTTTCAAATTACTTATGACATAAATTTATGTTGCGAAATAAGGGATATAAAAATATTGCCATAAAAATATAATCATTAACATCCTCTCTCTCGTAAATGAAGAAAATGAAAAAGAAATTGAATGTATCGCTTTTGACCCAGTTCTCGCAATGAGTTACAAGTGTAATTACAGTAACAAACACATTGGTGAATATTTCTCGTGTCAGAAAAGAGAAAAAAAGGAAGTCATCGATCGCGCACCTGTACCTGATCCCTTTTTTTTCATTCGGCGGACAAAGGGTGCCTGCTTCTCGCTCGACAAAATTTCGTAACACCAAGTAGGAAGGATAAAGGGAAACGGAGGGACAGAAAAAGAGACAGAGAGACGGCGCTGCACCGGCTACGGTGCTACGTGCACTTCGAGGCACGACAGGATCCGCTAAGTGGTAAAGCATACATCGGACGGTCTGTGCCTCCTTCATTAGCACCAACTAGCCTCGGCGGTAGGCTTAGCTGAGTCTTTTCTTCTTTTCTGCCGGTGCCGAAGAGAACGCCGGGTAGAGGGGCCCAGCGTCGTTGTAGGTACAACTCGCGCCATAAACCTCGACGAGGTCTCTTCTCGGAAATATGCCAGCATGCATACCAAAGCACAAAACGGTTCGCTTTGTGCATCCTGTCCTCTGGGATCGAAGCTTCGTGTTGGTAGAAACTGCAAGAGTTTCGAACGAAGTCTCTTGAGTTTTTCCAAGTAATTCTTGCATTTGTGTATATGTAGATATTATTTTACGTGAAATTGCATGTACTTCCGTTTTCTCGGAGAGAATAATTTTACAAACAATTTTAAAATCGTTTGTTAGATTTTATTGTTAAGAATAATCTTTTGTATAATATAATTGTTATAATATAGCTGTTTTGTTAAAATAGATTTGGTTCAAACGCATAATGAAGTTTCCTATCTTTTCTTCTGTTACAGAGAAGCTCACTACACAATCGGAAGATTTCAGTAGGAAGCTGTACATCTTTGCGGAGAAGAGCCAACGATACATTTGCTTCAATAAGCGGTGGAAACTCGTCGGCCTGGTAATTACTCGCCTTCCAATTAGTAGACATACTTCATCATCTCAAGCGAGCGGGTATAAAATTTACACGCGCCGGTAAACGCCTCACATTGCACTCCGTAAATTTCTATTCATCACCTACGCTCGGGACTATAATTTAGAAGTTGGATTATTAACAGTTTGATGATTCAAGGTTTCATCGTTTACAGTGTATATTACAAGCTTCAATTTTATTTGATTCATCGTGTGTTAAGTACCGTTCAAATTGTTGAAATCCATTTAAAGCGTTTTTTAATCATTTTTATTTATTTGAAATGCTGTAATGAAAATTATGTGCAATAATTAAAGTTTTCATAATTAAAGTTTAATGTTTTAACTTGTTCACTAGTGCAAGAGCACACGATAAACAAAACGTTGGCTGATTATTGTGTTGTTTATGGAAAACAATTAAAATTGTGTCATATCCATTGCCATGTATGTAACCACGCAACTTTCCATAAAAGACACAACAATCGGCTAACACTTTATTTATCGTGTGTTCTTGCCCTAAGACTGCGAATTCTGAAAAAGCATTACTCTCCCATACAATAATCAAGAAATTTGACTGAACTTTTTAATCTTTTGCAGTCTTATATATTTTAAATTGTAATATGTAAATAACTGTACAATAATTGCGAATTTTTAAAATAAATATTTAATTGTGTCAATATTATTATAGCAAATGTTTAATATTAATGCATGTGTAATATTATTTCGAGCTGCAAAGGATTAATGTCGAAATAGCGAGTAGTATATCGTGAACCGTCGACTATTTATTTGCAGCCGAAAAAACAGAAGGGACCGATGTGCCAGTTTTACGAGGTGTACAACGGCTCCTATCTGAGGTACAGGAGCGCCGTCGATGGGACGCGGTATATCGGCTTCAACAAGTTCGGCAAGCCGATGAAGAATCTCCACGGCAGGCAAGAGTGTTTCAACTTCATCAAGTACAATCCCCATGCCGACATAAACCACCACAATAGCCTGGTGAACGCGGAGATGGGCGGTATGGAGCCGCGGGAGCCGTACGTCGTCTCGAGGAAACCGTCGCTGGTGATGAGGGCCACGAAGAACTCCCTGTTGCAGGCCGACAGTGCGAGGGAGCACGTCCACACGTCCACGCATCGCCATCGGCACTCGAATCGCTGGAAGCATCTCTCGCATCGGCAGGACGGGGCAGATTCGGGACCCCGGAGACGGCATGAGAGCCGCCTCCTCGTCGAGGCCAGCAAGTATTGAGCCACGTGCGAGCTCGCCGATCAAGACTGCCTCCTCTGTACCCCGTGAGAACCTGAGATCAGAACTGCCAAATACGCTGGTGGATCGCACGGTCGGGATGTCAGGAGCCCACTTAACGGCGCCTTGTGTGTCGCGACTCGAAGCACCACGTATTCGTTCGATCGGTCGGCGAATCAAGAGCGCGGGCGCGGCTCGCTCCGAGCACACACGCCTTAAGCTGCGCCCGTTTAGTTTCCGTTTCCGCCCGCCGGAGCGAAGCAATGTTCCCGCGGCGAGGACGGGTGTCGTCGTCGAGATTAGCGTCCAAGATCGGCGGTGAACTCCCGCCGGCGAAGCTATCTCAATTTCACGCGGTTAAGTTCGATTTACACTTGCCCCGACTGATCTCTCTTCAGGCAAGTATGTACCTCGTAACGTATAAGAGCGTTTTCTTTCTCATCGTTGATTCCTCATGGATTTAATTCGCGCGCGTGACGAATATCGCTCGTTATTCTCTGTCTCTTTTTTACTCTCTCTCTCTCTCTCTCTCTCTCTCTCTCTCTCTGTCTATCTATATCTCTTTCTCTTTTCTTAATCTCGTGACGAAGCGTGGCCAATTAGTAGAAAATATCTTTCTTTCGATGCTGCGCGTCGTGGTAAACGCGCGACACCGCGGCTATGTATAATAAATTCATTCAATCAAGCCGTTATTGCTCGGTCGATCGTTTGGCGACGCGAACGAAAGGAATTCACATCGCGTAGAAATCGTAGCGCAACCGAACGGCTGCTGTGCTTCGAGTGCGGTCACCGGCCCGCGATGGTAGCGCAAAGAGTCGCGCGGACGACGCACGCCGACGGACATGGTGTTTCCCAATTTACTTGGCAAAAATAATTCGTCTTTTGGGTACATCATAAAATACAGAATTACTAACATAATTTTGAGATATTAACATAATTCGTTTAAACAATATTTATATAAAAAATTTGACCAAGGTGCACAGTTAGATTAAATCTTAAAAGAAATGTCTCTCGCTTGTTCCTACGATATAATCTTTAATTCAATACCATATCTTTGTAAAATCATCGCAAAAATATTAACAGATCATTCGTGTTGCTCTTGAACAAGTTAGTTCATTTATTTGGCTTAATCAAACTCTTTTCGATAATAAGTTACGCATTATCGAAAATAGTTAATGTTGATAACGTGCACAAAAATCAAGATTGTCAATGTACGAATTTGATCCTCGGCGAATAAAAGCGGGAACACTGTCGGCGCTGGTCCAGCGAGGAAATATTTGTCACGTCGCGGACGCTCGTACGTCGCCACTCTTACGCTCGCCTGCGCAGTTAGAGCTCACGCCGCGCAAGACTCTCTCGCTCGCTGTGCTAATTACGCCGCCTAACGTAGCGTGCGTGCGTGCGTGCCTGCTCGCGTGTATGAATAATGTGTGCGTGCCTGCCTGCGTGCGTACGTGCGTGCTCGCGATGTACACGCAGGCCTTACCGCCGCTGACGCACAAACTCGCGGCGCGATCGATTGCGAACGTGCCGAGTCTTACAACCGACCGACAATTCTTCGGGTTTTTTCTTTAATAAATTCTTAATTCAGATCGGGATTGTATTCGGAACCTCTGAAAATTAACACGATGTCGTTGTGTAGCTTTGAAATAGGAGGGACAAAATGTTTCAGATGCGGGACATTTGAAGGTTTGATATAAACACAAGGGGGCTGGAAGTGCCATGTATTTAAAAAAATTACTTTTGTATTTATAGAAGAGCTCTCTACGCTAACGATACAGCAAAAAGCTGTACATGTAATTTTTGAGAAGATTCTTACGAGTTGTCAAGAGATAAAGAGTATTTTTTCTATACGTTTTCAAATGAATAAAATGTAGTTTTTCATTTTTGTACTTTTTCCAGTGTTCGTCTGTGTTCCTCTATCTCTCAAATACAAGATGACATCGATCGATATACAAATTTTGTCGACAATATTTTCTAACGATTTCACGCAAAAATCTTAAAATATTTCTTCTTTCATTCGATGGCAATCGGTCAGAACTGCGTGTTTGCGTACGCGAGTATATTGGACTTGTGCGCATTTGCGTGCATACGTATTTCGCCTCCGGAAAGCGTGTGAGTGCGTGTAATATAATGCATTATCGTTAATGAACTTAATCCTTAGAACGCTATCGCAGACTGTATTATTAGGCTAGGTATATGAATATATGACGCGGTGGCGACTCAACGAAGGAGATCAGAGGGTGCCGAGTTCTTCGCCACTACGCAAAGACGTCTTGTGCCAGTCTTCTTTTTCGCTTCTATTTTCTGAGATCGAGCTCTCGACCGAGCGCCGACCTCTCGTGCCGTTTTAACTTTTCACAGGCACAAGGAAGGCACCCCGGAGCGGTCCATTTTCGTAGACTCGCCACGTAAGGAGCGCCTGTCCTTTTTCCCCTCTCCCCTCCTTTCCAAAAAAGAAAGAAAGAAATCGCTCCCTAGGTAGCTTATTTATTGAAATCATGTTTAGGTACTACGAAAGCCGAAATGCCCGAGAAACCCTTCGTTCCCCCTTGTACGTATATATATGTATATGAAGATATGCGCTGCTCTCTTTTCATCGTTTTCATTACTTGCCATTACCCTTTTCCTATTCCCTTCCCCTCTTTATCAGTCACGTACGTTTCTTAATTATCATTTCGCTCAACATCATGTCACAACTGCGAGTCGTACGATGTCACTAATTATTAATATTCATCGGCTTTTAGCTTATTTATATCTTCTTCCTGAAAGCACATTTTCTACGCGTTACAAATTCTCCATAAATAGTGATTGGTAGTATGTTACATTTACGTTTAATGTTCCATCATATCGCTGTAATATGGAGTAAAATCCAAATCATGCATTTCAAAGATTCTAATTACTTAATAAACTTAATTTACTTAACAACATTTTTTTTACTCCGCGTCCCTTCACTTCGTTTAAATTATTAAAATTCACGCTTTTTACACAAAGTCTGAAAATACTCAATACCTGATTAATTTAATTGCATACGAGTGGCAGTGCATAAGAAAGCTTATTCCTACGGATGATGTTTGTATGTGTGTTAAAAAATGTAGGGAGCAATATGCACGTAGTAACGCCACGTTTCGTGCGACGAATCAAAAATTTAGTTTTGCAACGCGTTTTATACAGATTGAATAGTTTCTTTTACGAGCAGCATTTTTTTATATAATCAATGAAAGTCCCTTCTTACCTTTTTTTTTTTACTGCGATTCATTCATTAATTATGTTAAAGTTCGATTTCTTTCGGTGATTCGTTATCGGCACGTGGCGAGTGCAAGCTAAGCACGATAAGATGTCGCGTGTAAACAGAAATTAAACGCCAGCAGATGACCATGAGAAAGGCATAAAATCCGACGCTTATAATTTAATAACAGATAACTAATCTAACGTGTATATGTATTGTATTGTAATATGAGTATTGTATAACTCCGCCTCTAAAAATTAACCAACTCGTTTTGTATGTGTAAGCATAGCGTCACGTAGCGAGAATCACCGCGGCGTTCACGGCGATGCGGAGAAAAATGACGGAATAATTTTTATGGAGTATGCGAGTCTCCTCGAAAGCGAGATGTGTCACTGACTCTGTCGTTCTACATATATATGTGTAAAAAAAAAGAAGAAAAGCGCATGCGATTCCCGACCAGCGTCACTCTCGCGACCTCATCGAACTACTCGTAATCGAGTCATCTCGGAGTTACTTTCGAAGAAAATTTCGTCGATTGTTTGTTGTCGTCTAGTTTGTATATTTTTATATTGGCGAAAATTTTTGTTCGGTATTTAAGCTCTGTTAGCGTCACACATGACGTTGCGGTCATCTTATCACCGCGTGACTCGATTGCGAGCAGACCATCACACCGCCCGTCCCACAGCCTTACATCCTCTCCTTTTTTTTACTTTCTCACCATCGACGAACCAGAAAAACGGCAGATGAAACGAATAGAACACAAGAGATGAATCTGACTATCCCTTTCCCCTCTCCTATAGATAGATAGTATACATACTAAATAAAAAAATAAAGGTAAAATATAAATATTATATATATAAATAAAAATATATGAAAGATGTGTATTGTAAGATATTTAATACCGACTTGTCTTAGGCACACCCGATGACGATCGATAACAATGAAACGATGATAATAATTATTACGATGATTGTTGTATAACGAACGACGACGATGATGATATTCTACACTGTAATTCGCGTTGTAATATAGAGGCCCACCCGTTACCCACTAAATCGATGTGTCAATGTACCCCCGGCCGTGCTCTGCTCGTGTGCGCATTTCGAAAGGGATGATTGAGAGGAAGAGATTGGACTTTGCAGGTGCGTCGCGCTTTGGACGACGGCCAATCAGCCGAACTGAGATTTTTCTACGAGAAGGACCGGGAGCCACTTTCGTAACTGGCCGACGTTCAACGACCGTCGCACTTGGAACGAAAAATTAAATCGGTTTCGATCGCGCCTTCGCGCTGCGCGGCGTTAATCATCGTAGCGCAAAAGCCCCACACACACACACACACGCGCGCGCGCGCGCCCACACACATACACACACACACACACACACACACACACACACACACACACTTGCCCTGTTTACGATGTGCAGCAGCCTATTACGAACGAGCATAGCACGTCCGGCAGCAACTAGCAATAATATAACATTCCAACTTAAATCGCATATGTACTGCGAATTCTAATAATGTGTGCCGCCATACGAGAAAGAAAAAAAAACATTGTCAAATACACGCTCATACACTGCTATTCATCGTATTTATTATCGTACCGACTTCTTATCCCTCTAATGGCCATAATCGCGAGTCCGCACACAAAACGACGATGTGAAGGAACGGTAGCTAAACCAGTCTCCGAAGCGATAAAGTAGCGGACATACGATTTGGTCCAACGAGTTATGCAAACTGCAGAAACGTTTGCAAAAAAAAGAATGAAAAAGAAAA